AATAAACTCACATCAATTGAAATTAGTGAGAGACGCCCCGCATTATGGCATTTTTCAAGTTTTGACATGAATCTTTTGCTCTTTGATATCTTTTCTGGTGTGACATACAAGATCTTAAGCTCACCCTCACCCTTTTCAAGGGCCTTGTATATGAACTTCTCATTTTCCTTGCTAGTGGTCGATGTCAACATGAAAGCCGGAATGCCTAAAGCAGTCAAACCCATAACCTGAATCATCAATTGTTGTCCAAAGAAGCCAATTCAAGTTACAGAAAAAGCATATAGAAAGCACATTGTTCAATTGAATAAATAAAAAAACAGAACAGAACAAATGAAAGAAAGAACCTGATCTTGGATCAAAGAGAGTAAAGGACTGATAACGAGCGCCACGCCATCACGAAGAATAGCTGGCAGCTGGTAGCAAAGGCTCTTACCACCACCTGCAGCCATGATCACTAGAACATCTCTTCCGCTCATGATAGCATTTATGATCTGGTTGGGTTTAAGCTTTTTGTTAGCAAATTCATAAAAGAAGTTAATCATGAGACTGAAACCAGACATTCCTTTGCATTGGCAAATTTTGTTAGTGATAAACAAACATATTAATAATCCATTAAACACAAAACGCCTAGACTCCTCTCAAATCCTAACCCTGATCCAATTTCCGTTAGTGAATTTATAAAAACAGAAAAAAAAAAATTCACCTTTCCTACCGTGCATCTATAAAAACAAAAGCGTGTCCACCTTTCCCAAAGAAAGAAAACATGAAAAGGAGCAATAGCCAGTTTGTGCTATGATATTGAGAAATGACTAATAGCACACAACAAGAGCATTAAAAGGGGTAATTTACAAACAGTACAAACTCTTTCGCAAGAAAAGGAAACTAAAACAAGATACTCGGAGAAGATAAAACTTGAATAGGTAGCTAACCTCCTTTTGATTTTGACGATAAGAGGGTATGCCAAAAATATTAAGCCTGGCATCATCAGCTTGAGAATCCCACTCAAATGAACCTGACCAGTCTTCCAAAGAAGAAGATCGAGAAGCATTTTCATTTGCAGAATTCCCAGTTCCAGATGCTCTATATGCTTCCAACAAAAACTTCAATTCAGATTGTCTCTCGTGCAACTTCTCTTGTCTTTCTAGCAATAACTTTATCTGGTCTTGAACATCTTCAATCTCTGTCTCTATATTGAATAGCTCTTCTAATACATCCGCTTCAGTTTCCATTGGTTGCTTCTTTTGTCAGAAAGATCCAGTTAACAAATAAATTTGGTTTTGTTACAGGGACAACAGGGCATGGGGGACAGGTGAAAGGTCCTTACTCCTACGTGTGGTTTGGGCAGAATCCCAAATGGGTTGAGCCCAGATGTTTTCGTGTGTCGTCGTGAAAGCCCGACCCTTTATTCAATGTGTGCTCTGAGCTTCATCTTTTTTTTGTTTTTTTACTTTAGAAACTAACTAGCTCGTTGTTTGCGCTTGGACACGGGGTCAGATTATTTTTCTGAGCAACAAATGATATTTAGGTGGCTCAAACTTGTTCTTTTTTTAAAAAAAAAGGAAGTGACTTGATACATACCTGATTTGATTGTATAAATTAATTTTATTTTAATTATATTAAAGAAATTAAGAAATAGTAGTAGATTAATTAGAATTTAAAAGAAAAATTATTAGGATAAAAAA